AGCGAATCCAAGCGTCCTTGCCACTGTGTCTAAAAATACATAAGCGAAAAAACCTGGCGCCTGCGGTCCCTTCGAACCAGATCAAATGTTTTACAACCTAATTCTCCCTTTGTGTTACAATCTCTCGACATAGAATGAGACTAATTCTGAATAGAAGCCTCTTGTTTGCACCGAATGAGATAATGAGGATGATCGCTGTTACATAAGAATCCTACAACAATGGCACCGCCTCGCTGCCAGGTTGGATAGGCGGAATGATCACAGCCGCAACACTCTGTTTTTGTCCACGCTATCATTTCCTCATTCTTTACTAGTCAAGCCAGACGTCCCCTGTGGGAGTTAAATTACCAATGAAAAAAAAATTGAAGCTTTTGTTCTATGCATAACGGCGTGTGTGTAAAATACACACACAGACATGTTAACATCTTCACCCAACCCCCGCCCCCCACTAAAAAGTATATTTGATATCGTAAGCCAGTGTAACATAAAGCAAATTGAACCTCAACACGGCACTTGATTATAGAAAAAGGAATTGAACAAACTACTTGATGTACTGAATGTACTGAATCGAAACTCTACTATTACAGTGAATGAATACTAACAATAGAACCAAAACAAAAGTTGAATTGACATTTTCGTTAACGAAATAATGAAAATGATCACTAACTATTTTAGTTAGCCAGAAGAAGTCACAGTCAAGTGTGAGTTGAGGTATTTTGACTGTGCGTCGCCTCGAAGCTTCGGTCAATAAAAAGCGCCACGAGATGACCTCTCTCCTTCGCATCCGTGCCGCTTGCGTGCTTCTTATGGCTACCATGCTTTAGTCACTTAACTGAGCCCGAATGCGATGCTCGCTATCATGTGATCCCTTTTTTTTTGTTTCGGATATGTAAAAAAATTAATAAATAAGTGGGCAAGTCGCTTGGAGTGTTCTGAGTGGGATACTTCTCAACAGGAACTCAAGCCACAAATCCATTTTAGAATTTGGCAACTTGGCAAACAAGGAAGGGAAAGCAAGCTTTATTTAAGATGCTCGAGGTGTGATGCGTCTAACTTTTGAAGCAGTGTTATGCAATGCACCTATTATACTTTTCAAGGGTCGAGGGTCTGCTATGTGGGAGTTGGCATCTTTTCCCTGTTGCTGCATTGGTTTTCTCTGGGTATTCCGACTTCCACATTCTAAAAACATCCAGTTTATGTTCATCAAAGTCTACATTTGTGTGATTGGCTGGCGACCAGTGTAACCTTCCTTGCAGCTCCATTTTTCTTCTATGATCATTCTAGGATTATTTTTTTGAGAAAAACATCCAATGCTGAGCAGCCTGGACAGATGAATGACCAAACGCTAATTTGCAAAAGAGACCAAGCCTGATTTCCTAAGGATATATGTTGTCCATTTGTTGTTTTCTACTTCTAAGGTTATCATCCCCTCTCTTTGTCAAAAGACCAAAAACCACAAAATACAACTTGGATGTTTTCGGAACCTCCTAAGACCGAAGTACTAAAATGACGGCTTCACAAGTAACATGCTCTCCTAATAACTTGAATGGATCTTAGAGTATGTTAAGCAGTGTGGCAGCTGCTCTCATCCCATCACGACACCATCAGTAATTTAGCTCGGGGTTACTCCGAATTGCCTGCACTCATTTCTACACCTCGCTGCCCTCAAAGTCATATTCAGCTCTATCCCTGCTATAATTGCTAGGAAATCGCCAGGTCTCTGAGAAATGATGTACAATTTTATCGAAAATGAATGCAGTAGTCCTGCAAGGGGGAAACTTAAAAGAGCAATTTTGGAGCGACCGTTTCTATCTTGTTTTCACCTCAGAATCCAGAGCTTTGCTTGCTAAATGGCAACGCATCTAATGCACTTGGATTTGTCTGCAGCACAATAAGAAGCCTCGAGGGGAACAAGTTAGTGTCATTCTTCCTATATGGCTCGGCGTGATGCTCTCTGCATCTTACGGAGGACAGACGCTCTGCCATTTTGTTGGAAATGGCCCAGAGGGAAAGCAAAAAAAAAAAAAAAAAAAAGAGCTCATCTTGATCCAGGCCTCCCTCCCCCATTTTATCTCAGACATAACGGCGCTCATTTGAACGCCAATAGATTTTTTTTTCTTCCCCCCGTCATACCTCTCAAATTAATCTCCTGGGAAGTAGAAGTGGGCTTCCTCGTGTCTCGGCTCACTTAAAAAGCTCCAATTTATTCCTCAAGCAATCATCATTCGAGACACCAGTGAAATGCAAAGCAGACTCTGCATAATATTGCATATTTGGCTCCGTGATCCTATCGAGCCATTTCAACATGCTGCAAAAGTTCCCACTCATTTTTTTTTTTTTGCTCGTGACGTTACTGTCAAACGTTCGCGGTCTCCAATTGACGCTTATATACGGATTCATGAAAAGATTTTTTTTTTTTTTTTTTGGTAGATGACCACAGAGATGATGCTCGTCAAGTTCATTCTGACTAATCGATGAAGCCACCAATATTTTCTTTCCCTGCCGTCATTGTTCGCTCAGGCCCCACCCACCAGCTTGCTCAACCAATGACATCAGCAAATGGGAATTGGAAATAAAACTAACACTAATTCATGTAACAGTTGCAAGGTTGCCACTCACAACCGTTCAGTTCGTTTTGTAAGCGGCCATGTTATCGAACTCATTTTTAATGAGATATTTCCCCACGCTTGAGGGCAACATTGTCGGTTTGTTGCAGCGACTGACCACCTGTTGATTTCAGTGAGGTGGCCCTTTTGTTTGTGCCAGAAGATGTGATTGGCAATTTCTCGACTTAAAACTCTCGCAGGGATTGTGACTAAGATCAAATTGAATTATTGCCAGAAAATGGCATCATTTAAATGTGTCATTTTAATCCTTTCATGCACCCTGTAAGCTGATAACTAGCTAACCTGTCCACTGTAGTAACCGCTGACCCTGAAAGGGTTAAAGTGTTTTTTTTTTCCTGATGTAAAAAAAAAAAATATGCATCTATTTTAATGCTATTGGAAAGACAAATCTGTAAAGTTGTTATATTTCTTTCTCAGGAAAAAAAACCCCACTAGAACCTACAGTAGTATTATGAGAATAAAGTGGTAAAGTTCAGAAATCTTGGGGAAAAAAAATCTATAAATTTAAAAAAACAACAAAAAAAAAGATAATGAAAAAATATCTATTTTAATGCTATTGGAAAGACAAATCTGTAAAGTTGTTATATTTCTTTCTCAGGAAAAAAAAAACACTAGAACTTCCAGTAGTATTATGAGAATAAAGTGGTAAAGTTCGGAAATCTTGGAAAAAAAAATCTATAAATTTAAAAAAACAACAAAAAAAAGTAATGTCAAATAAAATTGAAATATCACGAGATAAGCAAAAGTTGCCAGAATAAAGTTGTATAAAAAAATGTAGTATTAGGAAAATAGCCATGTTCTTTTTTCAAGGAAAAAAAATTGAATAAGACTACATTAAAGCAATTTTATTAATTTGCCTGTTCTTCCAGAGGTTTGCCATATTGCCAGTGGACATAAAAAGAAAAGATTGTGACCTGAGTGCTGTTGCCAATTAAAAAAAAAACACTTTCTGTTGCAGAGTTTATTTATTATGCTGCAATTTCCCTTCTTCTAAAGTTAATGGAGTGCACTTGGATGGAGGCCAGGCCTTTGAGTCATGCTAGAAGCTATTGCTAATTTGGCATCACGTCATTATTTACATCCACTGTGAGAGCATTGGGTAGAAAAATGTATAGCACTGAAATGTTTTAGTGATAATGCAGCACGAAACAGGGCGAAACAATGCAAAAGCTGCGTCATCTGAATACAGACGGGTACACTGTCCTATTTTTTTGTTGTTGTTGTTGTTGTTTGATCAACAAAAGGACATTTTGTTGTCACTTCCAACACGTGTGGGCTGTAATGCCACGTTTGTTATCAGATGCTCTCGTTCGCTCACCAGCCTGGCTTTTCAGCTCTTGGCGGCGATCGGGGCTGTCACAGCGAGCGTGTCGAGTCCTGCCGGACACGTCACAAGTGTTCTGATGGCCCTGCCAATACACGCCCACTCGGACCATCTGTGGACGGGCCTTTTTCTCCTCCTTCTACCCCCTCACTTCCCTTCCCTCTTGATTTCTACAGACTAATAATGTGGACATCTAAGCAGCCTGGTGGATGTTTTTTTTTTTTTTTTGCATATTTCCACTATTCATGTGCTGGTCACAGCTAGAGGAACAAGTGTTTGTGTTGAGTGTGTGTCTAACACAGTGATTCTCAAAGGCTGTTACGAGTACTACGATTGGTATTCGGGCTCACTCTGGTGGTACATGAAAGAATGGCTACCCAAGTGCAGTTCAGTTGTATTGAACTTTTTTTGTCCAATTTTCCTATATTTAGGCGCAGTGGTAACACTCAAACTGATGTTAACAGTGACTTGAAATTGCATGATATTCAAAAACACTTAGATCTACTACGCTACTGTACTTTAATGATGGTCATTATAGTGGGATTTAGTGTGCTCGGGATACAGTATTTTTTTTTTAGGTGTTGGTATTAAAAGTTTGAGAATGACTGTTGTAACCCAAGTTACTGTATTCATCCCCCAAATGAAAATAACCAGAAGAGTTGGCCACAGCAAGGTAGAAAAGCTTCCGCTTTGCATAGCTTGGATGTTTTTCTTTTTTTTTTTGGTACTTTCTATTAATGTTGATGACCTGTGGCAGCATGCTGCCTCTCCTGGTACTACAACAGACCTTTTTATTTGGAGGAGAATACATCCTGTCGATCATTGTGATGTGTGTGGTGTGCTGTGTTGGTCATTTCAAGTAAACCACACACAATTTTTTTCCCCTTATGTGTGAGGTCTCTCCCATTAAAAAAATGGCAAAGAGGTTAAAAATTCCTTGTGTGTGTGTGTGTGTGTGTGTGTGTGTGTGTGTGTGTGTGTGTGTGTGTGTGTGTGTCACATTTCCATTCCATAAGAAGCATTTGGTAATGTCTCTTGTTCTTACGCAGGGGGAGCTCCTGAGCCCGTGTCGCTGCAGCGGCTCGGTCCGCTGCACCCACCAACCCTGCCTCATCAAGTGGATCAGCGAGCGAGGTTCCTGGGCCTGTGAGCTCTGCTATTACAAGTACCAGGTTATCGCCATAAGCACAAAGAACCCACTGCAGGTGAGGATGCGGATCGGTCCCACCTCTTAAATTCCAAAAGTCCGCGTTTTGACGTTTCTGTCGCGTTGCCCTCAATGCTGACAAGTGTTGGACGGATTCGATTTACACTTGAAAAGGATGACAGATTTTCCCCCTCCCAGACTGCTACACAAAGAAAGCATTTGTGAGCATAATGCAGAACTCAAAGTACCTTATACTGCAACTATGCTACAGGAGTGGGAGGTAAAACGGGTGACTAACTCGGAATAATCAAGTGCTTTGGTGGCATTGCAGTCTATTTACATCATGCATTCAATTTCCAGGCGCTCGCTGAAAGTGGCGCGCAAACTAGGAATGGCAATTCCCCTCAGAGATTATGTGTGGATAGCTATGAGGAAGATTGATAGAAATGAAAAAAGGACAAGTTGATACCACTCTACATCACAGTAGAGGTGCAACAATCACCGACGAATCTACAGTATATTCAATCATCTATAATTACTTTGATAAATGATTTGTCGTTTAGAGACCTTTTTTTATTTTAAAATTGTCCAAATCATCAGAATTTCATCATATTAAATATTCTCCAATTTTTGTAGTCCGCCTTAAAGCACACAATCTATCTTTGCGTTGAATTAAAAATAAATAAATAAATAAATAAGCATTTACTTTTAAAACATTGATCAACATTTTTGCCTATTTTTGACATGTTACTGACCAAACCAGTAAATGAATCATTTGTGCATTTTCTGCTGCACATTTTTTTTGGGGGGGGGGGGGGAGTCCTCTTTTTTAATATAGGAATAAAAATTTTAATATGTTTTGTTTTTACCCAATTTGACAATTAATACACAAAATAACGGACAGTTTAATCAGTTATTTAAAAAAAAAAAAGTCCTGTGTTTTCTTAAATGGTGGCCTCATCATATTTTAACCATCATATCAAGATTTAAATGGTTAAAATATTTTTTTAGGTACATGTCTCAGATCAGAATAGAATTTGTCAAAACTACTTGTTCATTTGTCACGTCATTGTATCAAAACAAAAAAAAAAGCACATTCTCTTTTTTTTGAAGGAGAAGATGCTAATGTTTTGGCTCATCCACGCAAACGATTCCGTACAATTCTCTGCTGTTTCCGACAATAGCAATTGCTTATGCCGTGATGCTCAAAACATCTGACAACGGGTCTCGGTTGAATTGTCACAAAATGTCAAGCATATTTCGAGTCGACTTTTTGCAGGCGAATCTGGACTTTTTCCGATGGAGGGAAATATGTGAGCATGAGATGAAGCAATGTTCAGCCAGTTCTGTGAAATAACTCATAGCGAGTGAAGATAATTGTTGTGATGCGGATAAGAATATTTGGCCCAGAGGAAGTAGGAAGACTGCGCTGTAATTCCTACAGTGTTGCATACACAATTTCTTATTAGCTTTATTTTTTTCTTTGCGCTGTGCACTGCTGTCTTTTCCTCTCTGCGTCACAGCGAGATGGTTTGTCAACAAATTACAGTGGAAACAGTCAAAATGAAATGTGACTCTTGCAATCAATCTTACACACACACACACACACACACACACACACACACACACACACACACACACACACACACACACAAAGGTGCATCTTTCAATTTAGAATGATGAATGTGTCATCAAAACTCAGCGTCATAATATCGCTCTAGAGTACATTTTTACAAAGTCGTTAAAAACATAAATTGACTTCAGAAGGCCGATTCCAATCTAAATTTCATATTGGAAATAATGTTGAATTTGGAGTTTTCGTTAGCTGTAAGCTATGATCAAAATAATGACTTGAATTGTGTGTTATCCCGCAGTGGCAGGCCATCTCACTCACAGTGATCGAGAAAGTGCAGATCGCAGCGGCCATCCTGGGCTCTCTCTTCCTGATGGCCAGCATCTCCTGGCTGGTGTGGTCCTCGTTCAGCCCGTCGGCACGTTGGCAGCGCCAAGACCTGCTCTTCCAGATCTGCTACGGCATGTACGGCTTCATGGACGTCGTCTGCATAGGTGGGCTGCTCCGTTCCACGCTGGGCAACTGGCGGATTTAAGACAAGCAAGCAAATCAAATGTCAGAGGTGTTGATTTAATAACATTTGGCAAAATTTTGAAAGGATGCTAAAATGGATGTGCCCATTCCAGTATTGAGGAAAAAAAAAATGCCGTAGCTCAACTTCCCATTGCTGACATCTTGCGTAGTCCAGTTGAGACTAAGACGGAACAATTGTGAAAAATAATCTAATTGCAATTTGTTTCCCTCCTGATTGTGATTGGACCATAAGAGAGATAATGGAAATTACTTCCTGACACGGCTCTCCTATTAGGATATCATTAGATTGCGCAACTGGTCTGTGGAAACATATTGTGTTGGACGACGTCATGAAATGTATTAAGATGGCAACTGCAATGCCGGGGCACAATTTGTTTGATCGCCGAATAATAACGTGCTCATCTTTGAAGTGGGTTTCACCGCATACATTTGAATAGATTTGTAACTAAGTGACACTTTGAGAGTTCCTCGCTGAAGGCATGGTGAGAGGAGGTGGGGGGGATATTTTCTGCATGTGATGATGAAAGTGACATTTGTAGCACCATCCGTTTTAAGATTGACATCCTCCCGTGAGGAAGACGGTGGGATGGCATCCGGCATGAGGAGTGTCACCGCAGGACTAAGCAGGATGTGAAGGAGGGGAGGGCTGATTATCTCCAGTGTGGTCAGGATTGACAGCAAAGTCATTTAGGAGATGAACTTGTCATCTGGCAGATTTTATTTCTTTATTTGTTTTTGTTTTTTTAATTGAGCGTGGGTGTGTTAAAAATACGACCAGATGTTTCTTGTCTGTGACTTAACAATGAAAATAGAAGTAATCTTTGCAGTTTGAGCTAATTTCAGAGAACGGTGGGAGGAAAAAAAACATCAATTCTGCCTTTTCAAAGATAATAAGCCTCATCTTACATTGACACTGTCAGATACTGATAGAACAATCAACATTGTTGAATTCATACCCATGTATTTTTTTTTAACTCAAAGTTGTACCCCTCGTATGGTACATCTCGTATTTCTATGATTATCAACTACAGCATTAAATCATGAAAAAAGGCAATCGTTATTGCAGACAGCGTTCTATGTGCAAGTCATGTTTAATGTGAAAATCCTGAAAAAATTCTGAAAATTAAGTAACATTAGCAGTAAACAAATCAGGTGATGTCAAATCACAAACACCTTTCGTAACAATCAAGGTACATTTCGTAAACTGCCAAAGCACAACTATCAATCAATTAACTGCAAAACGATCAATATCTTCTGGTGGTGGTGGGTGTTGGTGAATTATTTTTCGGTCCCAAACTGGGCCCACAATTGTAACTGTTAACCCTGTTTAATATTTACGCATTTACGCTTGCAAATCCTCATGAGTGTGGTCAACACTTGAGTTGGGCCAAGTCATCCACTCTGTGACTGGCGTCAAATGAATGATGGTCTTCATAAGTGTTTGGGTCCCATTTTTAAGGAATTCATCTAATGCGGGATTTTTAAAAAATGGTAACAGTATGTTCCTGTTAGCATCCATGAAACAGGAAGTAGCCTGCTAGCATAGCCACAGAATTTTTCTTTTTTTTTTTTTTTTTTTTTACATTTGTTAAAGTTTAACCCTCAATGCTCTACTGAATGGCATTATTTTGTAAATCCAGCATCTTTGCCAGAACTGGATCGGTTGTGCGAGGTCAGCTAATGCTGTGGCGTCTTTACTTTTGTGATGAACAAAATTTAGTTGGCAGTAGCATATAGGGTTAAGATGATTATTTACGCTTGACTGCACTCTGCAAGCTTCTTGTGTTACAAATAGATTCTTCTCTCCAATGTGATCTTGAAGAACAAAAAAAAAAAAAAATCAATAAGTCATTTCAAACTGCGCGAAGAGATTATTGAACGACACCAGAAAACAAATGCTTTACTTTTTGCTAAACTGAATTTAAAACAAAGAAAATGCAATGTTGATATTTTTTTTGTGGGTTCAATGAATTTTAGTTTGTGCTAAACTAAACTACCGGTTTAATGAATGTTGCTCTTTCTGACTGATGCCCTCCACAGCGCTAATTGTCCACGAGGGGCCTTCCGTGTTCCGCATCTTCCACCGCTGGCAGGCTGTCAACCAGCAATGGAAGGTCCTTAACTATGACAAGTCTATGGACAACGTTGATCTGAAGGACGTCACCGTGGACAGGACTCATCAGCCCAGCCAGGCTTACCAGACTGGGCTCGGGGTGTCCACCTCCACCTCCTCGCTGATGGTGGTCGCCTCCGCGGCCGGCAGCGGCACGTCCACCACCGTGGTGACGGCGGCCGCCGCCGGAGGAGGACCGGGGACACACGGGAACGCCGATGGCGGAGCAGTGGCTGACCCGCATTGCCCCTATAATCTCCTGCACCTGCTCAGCCACCTGAGGTCGTCGGAGCCCCGCAGCCAAGGCAGCGGTAACGCGCGAGAGCTGGTCATGAGAGTCACTACAGTCTGAGGAGTCAGACGAGGCCTTATCTCTCACGTGGAGGGTTTTGGGTAATGCCGGCGAAGCAGCTGAACTGCACTAGACTGAGACCGTCTTGTTTGCATCATCACTGTCCTTCCATGGATTGAATAAATTACGAATTGGTTAATTTGCAGAGCTGCGTGGAAAATTCATTCTTATGGGGATTCATAATGCAGTACTCGGTTCACAAATTTTGTGGGCGGGGGAAAACATTGTTTTTTTTCCCCTGACAGGCAAGACAATCGCTTGGATTTGTGCTTCTCGTCACTTCATGCATTTGCTGAACTAGAATTTATACGGCTCAATCATAATTACAAAGACCAACAAAAAATGTTTCATTTGCCATTGACAAACTTGGCAAAAAAAAAAAAAAAAACCTCAAAAGAGCTTTGTAAGAAGTGTAAAGACAACTTTGCAAGCAAATCATAATCTGTATTAATTATAACATATTGGGGGAATACACAATGCTCTCTACTGGATATGAATGGGCACTGCCACCCTCATAAATAATTCAAAATCAACATCGAATAAAAAGGTATACATTAGATAATTTTTGGGAAGTAATGAAAATACATATACTTTATTAAACTTTTCCGTTATTGCAGTAGTAGCTAGCCTCTTTTTTCCATTATTTTACACCTTTCTTACCTAATTGATTTTTCTCTTTTTTTTTCCATGTTAAAAAATCCCTTTTGGCAGGTTGCGTTGACATTTTTACATCCACTGTAGATCAGTTCTCTCACTTGGCTTTTAAGGGCATAAATCTCAACGTCCAAGTGAAAAAGTGAGATTATACTCATAAAACATTTCTACTTTTAAAAATCTATATCACATGATGGCCAATTACAAAGCACACAAAAAAAACGTATAGTTTCAAAAACATATTGGCTTTTGATGCATCATGGTCGAATCAAGACTACTTAAACTTAAAAGCATGCTCGTTGTTTGTCGACATGAATTCATCAACGACAGTGTGTTCAATTCTAATGTGGGAGAGAACACGAACCTATTTCTAACGTAGAAAAACAGAAAGGAAAGCGCGACTTACTGTCCAAACATGTGAGCATCATCAAAAGAACTGGAAGCAGCATTTGTGTGTCAGCGTTGCATCAGCATAGTGCCTGCAGTGTGAAGAGAAAAAAAAACCATTACATTCGCTTGTTGCTGCAGAACTTTAATTCTCCAATACAGTTTCCACTTCATGGCAAAACAACAACAATAATAATGTAACCCAGGCAGTGAGGGCCATTAATTATTGTAAGATGGCATTTTTCTACATCATGATACGTTTTTAATTGATTTAATACAAAGCGTATGATCATGTCTGCGTATGAAAGCTTACTTTGGATTGGCACCATCAGTGAGGCATTTATTTAACATGCCCTCTTCCACTTTCTGTGTACTAATCTGTACCAATTTCACCAATCGACAATGATGTCCCTGTTAAGCGAAAATAAATGTCTTCTAAATTTGACACATCACAGAGTGTTCATTTTTTTTTAAAAATCATTCGATTTCAAATAATAAATGAACAACACCCTTTATGGTGTGTCAACGTTAGAAGACATTTAATTTATGTCATAAATTTACTTTATAAAGTTACTGTACCTGAACAGTTTTGTACAGAATAGCACGGCAGCAAATATTTTACTAATTCCTTTGCATGTGTTTGACACCTCTAAAAATAGGAACATTTCACAGTATGCATATGAAGGACAGAGTGGGGGGGGGGGGTGCAAGCGGAGGGATAGTGACCAAAGCATGGGTGTCACTTGCAGTCTGTTGCCTCCATACAGCATTCATAGCTCACATTCGGCTCACACTGCGGCGGATCTCGCAGCCTTTCATGATCTCGCATTCAAATATGCTCTTTCATTGCTCTTGTTTCATGTCCCTGGAATGTCAGTTTGAAGAGGGTGTCTGTCGGTCAAAACTGGGGAAAAAAAAAAAAAGTTAACTATTTTATTCCTGTAAAGGGATCGCCAACACAACCTTGCTACTTTCCTGGAAGTTGGATTATGGTGTAATATTCAGAAACAAAACAAACAAGTCCCAATTATGTTTCGATTATTTTAGCCCTGATGCCATAATGCTCATTTTTAATTAGAATGTTGCTCTGTAGAGGGCAGACCTCTACCACACCACAAAAAAAAAGCACAGGAAAAATCGTGTTTAATTGTTTGGTGGAAGACTACTTCCTGCTTTGTAGAGAAAAACAAACACACATGAGGTGCCATTATCATTCTAGGGAGTGGACTCTTAAACAGTGAAAATAAAGTAGAAAGTGGATTTAAAAAGTTCAAACACACCTGTTCAAATGTCAGGTTTTTGGTCAGTAGGAATTTCAACAGGGGTTGGTCAGAATTAATATTGATGGTATTGCTGTACCGTTTTTTTTTTTGTTTTTTTTGAATCCAGATCCTCACCAAAACTAAATCGGGATTTTTATGACAATCAGTTTTGTATTTTTTTGCGTTGTCCTTGAAACTGCATCCGTGCTATTGATTTACTACAATTAAAAAAAATTAAATACTGGTGGACTCAAAGGGTGAAAAATGTATCCTGAGAGGTTAGCAGCTACAATATACAAGATATTACTAATCATATCAAGGTCATTTTCTGTTCAAATTTCGATAATCAAATCACACCAGTCACGTAAGCGTAGAAGTATTTGAAAATGTTCACTGGTATTTTACATGTTCCAAGGTTACTGGCAGGAATAAAGATCAGATCCAGATTAAAATTGATTTGTGACTGCAAACTCTGACCCGAAAACAGATCACTTTGTAAATATTTTAGATGAACTGCATGATATAAAATCAATGTCATTATTTCCACCTCAGATTCCAGCGCTTTCCCATGGATGCCTTTTTTCATCACTACTATCTAGACAAGTTGCCAGTCCAGTATGTAGATAGAATCTGGTAGCATAGCACGATTTGACTGCTGAATTATTGAAGCGCCAAACAGCGAGCCCCGTGGAGGTTGTCGAGAGTTCATTGCCAATCTGTTCGCCTCGCTTCCCGTCACACATTCGAAACGAAAGGAGCACACACTCAACGACACCGACGTCGAGAAAATTACCGGCGCGGGAAGAAATGTACTCCTCGTTCACTTTTAGCATTAATGTTCCAATAGCAACATCTTGTTTCTGCTTCAAAATGTACTTTGTATTTGAAGATTCAAGTGCTCTCTTTTCCATAGAAAACAAAAGGAATTCTAATCTAATACACTCCAGTCATGACAAAAAAAAATCTTTAACTGCACTGTCAATGTTTTAAGTTAACCTTTCGATATTATTAACTGCCATACAGGTGGAATAAGTAGGTCAATGCTCCATCATAAAACAATGCTTAAGTGCAATGAAGCAAAACTACTCACTTGTCTTGTCTAGCACAGTCCAGACTCAAACTGTTGCCATCATAAGCTCAATACATAGTGAGCTTTTTTTATATATCTATTTTTCACTCGCCAAATACAGTACTCCATTAAAAAAAATAATAAAATTTAAAAAAAAAAAAAACTAAAGCTAATTCTAAATCTAATAAAAATGCCTGCAATAAGCATTGAGAAAAAAGTACATGAATAAAAACTAACAAACCTGTTCTAAAAACAAATTAAAACTAACCAAATTTTAAAAAAAACTAACGACAAAACGAAATAAAAACTAACTATAATGAAAACCCCCAAACTAGTCGCAAATGACACTGGATGGCACCCGACTGAACTTTTGTGATACACGCACGCCCACACGCAAAGTGGGCAGCAATTTCACAAGTTGTTCTTCTAATCCATGCACAGTGTGATTCAAAACTATGTGCTTTAAGGCACAGAAAATGGTCCAAAATGAGCCCAGAGAACTGTTGAAAGTGGATCAACTGCTTTTAGTCGGTGTCATTTGAATTCTAAAACATACCCTGGGATAAAAGCCACACATTAACATAACTATCATAACTCCCCGTGGCTCTTCTCTTGCTTCTACAGAGGAACGTTATCATTTAGACAAGATGAGCATGTCGCTGTTGAGAAAAAAAAAATTGGTACATTATGTCCAAAACAATCATAAACTGTGAGGCAATGGAGAAAAGAGCAGAGCTAGAAAGCCGGAAAACGCTACAAATTCCCTGGACCTCGGCCAGAGCACTGCCAAGTTTTGTAGAAGCAACACATTGAACAGCGAAAGAAGTACTGGCAACTGAAAAAAAGATTGCATTATAGTGCCCGCATTGAGAGGTGGCTGACTGCTCGCATGTTGACATTGCTGTTGATGGAAGATGAAATGCAAGGGAGATTTAAAGGTGTGCGAGCAGGCAAGTCTGCGACAGCACTTTAAATCATTGTTTGCGCTCTCTTTTTTTTTTTTTTGTTACGCCGCTGCTGCTGTAATTCCTGACCACAGAACATTTATTGTGTGCCTCAAGGGCATTTCCATGTGATACATGACAGGTGAAAACTAGCAAGAGTCTATAAATTGTATGACACTCGGGCCGTGGCGGAGGCTATTGTACATTGTGCCTGTCCGTGTGAAATTGCAATGAATGACGTTAATGCACTGCTCGCGAGAAGCCGCATTCCTGGAGTAGCTATAAAACCATTACGTGTATTATATACTGATCAATTGTTTTGATTGGCAGAAGAACCCATTTTGCAGCAGAAGAGAGTAGATTCGGACATTTTAGTCTATTTAAGCTTACGCTGTCAGAGGTCGAGTCCATTTAAAGTTTGGCTTTAAATTAGAAAAGTATTTCCAAAAACACTGAATGAAATGTTATCTTTCATTTTTGTTTTCAGTAATTTAATATACAGATCCTCGTAATGAATCTAATTCAGGTCCCAAGATGAAAGGAGTCTCCAGAAGTCAAGCCTTCACTGCCTTATGGGGAAAACTGTCTTATGGAGACACGTTCAATGTGCGTGCGTATATATATACACACACACACACACACACACACACACACACACACACACACACACACACACGCTCCGTCCTCATCAAGGCCGAGCAGAGGATGTACTTTCTTAGCACTGACAAACAGGAATTAAAAAAAAAATAAAACTGTTCATCCAATGAGAAATGGAACCTTATACTGTACTGTATTTTGAATGTCTGTTCAGATGAGAAAAAAAAAAGTCAACATTTTTGGGGAAAAAATATGCCACAAAATTCGGACAAAAACTTGATGCGGGATATTCGCCAATGGCGCTTCAGTTTAGCATGCATCTACTGTAACTAACTAGCTTTGCGCTCTTTTGCATCATCAATTCTAAGATGTGCTTGGCCATTGAAAAAATATATATCATTAAGTGGTTAACTTCCTTTGCACTTACTTAACCGTTGAGAATTTACAGTAAATCAAAATCCATTATTTCTCAATGGAATGATTCCCCCCCCCTCTTTAATTTAAACTATTTTGAGTTCAACATAAATACAGCCACTGTAGTATTCTTTTAGCATGTACAGTAGGTGATGAAATGCAGTACTTGGGCGGCATACATGTCCTCAGCTCGGACTAATGCGTTGTGTCTCAGCCTCATGTCGGTGCCGTATAAACACACAGAGTGTCTCCATGTAAGGAGAAGAAAGCGCAGCTGCTGTGTTTGTCTCTGAAACACTTCTTCTGTCCACACAGCAACATAAATACACCATTTCAGACGGACTATTTACT